TGGAAAGTCACTGCTCCCTGACCTCTTCTGCCAGAAAGACTTGTGCTTCTCCCACATTTCTTGTTTGTAATGATGGCTTTGTTAAAAAGGGTGATGAGTGAGGAACAGGAAAGAATTTATTTTTCCCCTGTCTTTCCCATTGTTTCTAAGCACAGGCTGGGGCAAGACTAAAAGCAGTGAGAACGTAAGCAGAATCTCACATCTTTTCATGATGCAGGTCTTCTGCTGCAAATAATTAACACCAGCCAAAGTCAGATCACAGCAGGTAACAGTGAACTTGAAATAAATTTGCAGGGAAAATGAATGATTGTCTCCGTAATGAGGGAGAAGGAGGACAGAAGAATGCTTTGCCATTATGACAAATTAATCACCCTAATTCTTCTTCAGCCTCTACTCATCTTGCAGGATGAAGTTTTATGATCTCAATCTGGCAAAAATCTTTAGGATGGGAAAACATGTGATGAAACTCAGCACAGCAAGTCACCAAGACAGCCAGTTCAATGAGGTCTGGATGGGGCTGTGCTTCCTCCCGGGGAGCTGCTCTCACAGGACAAAAGCCTCAGTGACGCAAGGTACCACAGTCAGAAGCAAAACCAGCTACCCCTTAGGGAGACTGGAGCACGCGACAGGGGGAGCGTTTAATGTGACTCTGCCCAGCGAGCATCACCCCGTGCTGCAGAGTGCTCAAAGCAGGGTGCAGCAGCAAAGAACTAAAGCGCCGTTTACCCTGACCCCTGTTTGCCTACAAGGTGCCAGCGCGGTCTGTAGCTTCATCCCTTGCCAGGCTCCTGCTGTCACAAAGATGCTGCATTCATTCAAAGGGTCTCCTTGCAGTTCCTGCACCAGACAGCCTCACGTAACAAGAGGCAGGTGTTGCACATCTCAAGATAGAGCAGGTATAGACCATGATGTGGTAATACAGGGAAGATGCAAACTGGCCACTGCAGTGCCTCTCCATACCTGGTTATTGTGGCCAGAGGAGCAAACCTCAGGAAAGATCATTACTCTTCACTGGCTGGTGTGGAAATACCTCAGGTTTCACCATAAATATTTGACGACCTGACAAGCAGCATTTTTTCATACTCGTGAGACACAGACTTTCAGTATTCAAATGCATCATTCCCAGTGCACTGCCCTTTCTGGCCAGCACTCCTGCTGTCTCGCCACCCTCACCACTGCCACGTGAAACGGCACCAAAAAGCACTTAGCCTTGAAATAAGTTAAATCATCTTCCTCGCAGCATCCCACGATAACATTTATCCTCTCTGCATTGTGTAATCCAAAACATCAAAACAGTCACAAATGTATTGTACCGAATCATCCAGCTCATTACCAGGCAAAATTAATACTCAACTCGACACCCAAGCAGTAGAAAACCCCATAATCCCACCAGCCCACGGAGGAAAGCTGCTAGCTGGGCTGAGAGGAGGCTGAGGGCTGGGAGCATGAGAAAACAGCATTGTAAATCACTGCTAAGGGAGGGAACCCCGGGAAGCTAAGGTGTATCTGCATATGGGTGCCTGTTTCTTGGTGGAAACAGCTGCCAAAGCAGGATGGCAGGGGGCTGCAGTCTGCTAGCAAGAAAACAGTACGAAGTCAGAAAAAAGAGTGAGTGTTGGTCAGGACTTCTCAGTTCAATGGAGGGTAATTTTCCCTTCTCACTGCAGAATCATGTGTAGAGTGCAATAAAAAATTTATCAGGATCATCATAGGGCATTTTCTGGTCAGAACTGAAGCCAAATCCCATGATACCCCAAGGAGCAAACAATGCAGTGTTTAGGGAAAACTGAAAGGCATCTGGGGTCAACCCTTCTTGGCATGACCTGGAGCCAGAATATTCCCATGGTGCCACCAGAGGCAGCCAATCTCTTTTCCTATGGAAAGGTTGTATTCCCTGAGGTGGATGCCTTTATTGCTACCTAAGTCACAAAGACCTTACAAATAATCTAACAAGTGAGAATAACCACCCACTGCAGTCCACGGAAAAAGATGTTTTAGAAGAAATATATTATGGATCTAAATTCATAGATATTTTCACTACTGCTGCTGTTCCACTCTGCACTGGAAAACTACAAAATGCTACCCCAGTTCCTGGGAACCAAGGAACCGCAGCTCTCTGGAACAAGGTTAGCATGACTAGAATGGCTTCTCATGATTAAAGAAAAAGTCAAGGGCAGCTCTCTAGTATGAGCAAAACCTGGTTCATTCCTTTGTGTGGTGGATGGTTCAGTAGAACCTCAACAAGGTGTCTTTTTTTCTTTTTTTTTAAAATTATCTTTCCCCTTTTTTAAAATCTGTGACCGGGGAGGTTTCAGGCTTGATCAGTCACTTCAACATGCTTCCCAGCACATGGATGGGCAGAACACACCCTGCATCTGCCCATCTTGGTCAGGTGGACAGACGTCTACAGCTCACATGCAGAAATAAATGAGCCTATCAAATGTCTTAATGCTATCACAGGGGAGAGAAATCTCTCCTCACACTTTCAGCCCTATACAGTCCTGATCTCCCGTTAAATCAGCTATGGCACTCAAAAGCTCCTCCAGAAGAAAACAATCTGTGGTTTTCTGCTCTATTTGTTTCTGCAGGGCTGTTGAGTTTTATCAGCTCACAGAGGAATCAAGCACCAGAGAGGGAAAACAGAAAGCAGGGGGAATACACAGTGAGGAGTAGAGAGGAAAATCCCCAACAAGGGACACACACCTGCCTTCCCACCACTTGACAGCAGACAGGATGCTGCAGAGCCCTGCATCTTCAGTAAACAAGCAAAGGCAGTTCCTGGATTTTAGGAGCAGTTCACTTGTGTACCCTAGACCGCTACAGTAATCCAGGAAACTCTCAATCCTGCCATATTCACAGCTAGAGAACAGCACAGTCTATCTTTGCTTCTGACATGCAACCTGCCAAGGGGGAGATGCTACCAATTTCCCAGTCAGAGACCCACCTCCAGCACTGCGGTGAGTGGGTACGGCACAGCACGCACTGCAGCGCTTATCTTTGGTAAGGACATAGGAGAGCCCAACAGCCCCATTGCACCACCAGAAATAAGGTGTTTGCAGTAACTCCACACCCCATGTCCTAGGATTATTGGGGAAATCTGGATATTTGGTGGCACAAGCAGAGCCGAGCTCTGCCAGACCCCAGTGCTTGCAGCAGGAAGGAGAAGGGAGCCATTTGGGCAGGGTATTTAAATATTAACTGATTACAAGAACACTGGCAGTGCTCTGATCAGCACGCATGAGGATGACACGCTGTACAGCAGGCAGTCTCTCATTTAATCTGAATTACAGAGTCAACACACTTTTAAATATATCTTTAGCCAGGTACTCAGAGGTTTTTGTCATATCAATTGTGGCCCAAGGTTATGGGTTATTTTTACATCAGGTTTTTACCAGCACTTACAAATTTCACCACTAACAAAGAGAAACCTGATGCACAGAGCTGCATTTTTATTTGAAGATACATATTTATATAATATTCATATTTTCCCCAAGCAGTGAGAAAGTTTCAGGAGACCCAGACAGAGGTCTCAATCTTTTGGTCACCAGACACGTTTGAATCCAGCACAAAAGAACAGGGGCCTGCAGCCTTCTGAGTTTTGTTTTAAATCACAAATATAATTTCAGTCAACGTGGGCTGACACCACTGTGGAACGAGGAAGACGAACTGCCTAATGAACCACACTCAGTCCTAGCTCTGGCGCTGGCTTTAAATCAGATGTCAGACAAGTATGGTCACAAAGCGCTCCTACAAAGCCTCTGATACAACAGGATGTCTGATGAATGGCTTTGATCAGTTATTGATCATGACCATTATTCCTGGACTGAAGGAACAGCAAAGAGCACGATGTAGCCTTCCCCATGACCGTCTTGTAGCAGAACGTCTGCCAGTCCTCAAACAAACCTGGTCTGCTATCTCCCTGCTCCTGCCCCCAGTGTGTGTTTTGACAACAAGGATCCTTCACAGAAAGTACAATTAAGCATGAATCTGTGCTTTGGAAAACATTTTTCTTCCTCTAGTAACTTAAAGACAAAGAGCAAAGGTGCAGCACTGAAGGGTTTTTACCACTCAGCAGCATTAACTCTTCTCTCTTCCCATGCTGCCAAGAGCCAGAAACAAATCTAGATCTTGATAGGTCTATGTAATCTGGATCACCTGGCTGGGCTAAGAAGAAACTGCATGCAAAATGTGGTGCCAAAGTTTAAGAGCTTGCAAACCACTAAGATGAGTCAGGTTGTTAATTCCAGATCAAATTTCCACAGACACTGGGGATGTTCCAGCTGGGGATGTTCGAACTTGGCAGCTTGATCTCTACAATGGCCCAAACCCAAAACTCGTATGCAACAAACACCAAATCCTTGGCTGACCCCTGAGTCTTGAACATCAGCAGACCAGCGTGTCCCCAAAATCCAAACATTGACTTCAAAAGCTAGAGTCTTAAAAACAATGACAAAACAAAACCTAAAAACTGAGATTTTTTAATGGCTTTTTGCTTGAGCTTCCCCTTTCTCCATGCTGCAGTTACACCAAACACATTATGAACATCTGATTGCAGCTTCAGCACTGCAGTATTTAGAATCGTAGAATCTTTTAGGTTGGAAAAGACCTTTAAGATCATCAAGTCCAACCATTAACCTCACACTGCTAATATCACCACCATTTATACTGGCATCAGTGATTCCCTGATGAGTTTCAAGAAGACACAGGAGTGTTGACTGCACAGGCCCAAGTCAGTATAGCTACAGGGACCTCACTTAATGCCTGGGTCTGGATTCGGAATCATCTCAGTTAATGATGTATATGAGCCTATAGCTCTATAATCTTATAGAAATATCCTACTCAAGGAAAGGACAGGGTAGGAAACATGTGAAGGGGGACAATATACAGTGTGGTGTATCGCCCCATCTTCTCTTTTCAGCTACATCCTCCCACAGTGCTAAACCCAACACATCTTCTCTTTTCATATCCAGGTGGAGACAAGCAAGTCATTAGTGTCTTACCCTGATAAGACGCCCAGCACCAAGTTGAGCATGAAGAAAGAGCCAATGATGATGAGAGGGATGAAGTAAAGCCAGTTCCAGGTATTTCCTGCGGCATCATTTGTCTGGAAACAAAGAACAAGGGAGAGAGAAATATTAATTTGCCTCAGAAATGAAATACCATACAGAAACTGCAGGGCAGGGGAGATTCCCCTCAGATTTCCATAGGGCTGTCCACCACTGATGTGCTAGTCAGCTCTGTTATGTTCACCACTTAAAACTCCAGCAAAAGAACTGATGGACCAAGCTGATAGTCCCACTGTTCACACCAAAATTTGTCACCAGGTCCACTGAGAAGATTCATTTCACTCCACAGCTCTAGGCTGACCCTGCTGCAGGGCCAAAACACACTTCTAAGTGACCTACCTCTATGCAGACTTTCTACACCAGCCTCCTCCCCACTTCAACTCTGACTTCCCATGTGCTGAGCATCAGTCGTATTTACATCCAAATTGAGGGAACCACAGCCTTCCCTTAATCTGTGCTGCAATTAAGGCAGAGCATGGCACCATGCCCAGAATCTGTGCATACACGCAGAGCGGGAGAAGACAAGAAGTCTGCAAGAAAGCAAGGCATCTTCAGAAGGATTGCAATTCCACATCTTGCTTACTCAGCACTTCGGGCTTCTGTCATCAAAACCCATCTGGGGCTCCCTGAGTAAGCAGCAGTCTAGATTAAGGGGAGGGAAGGGTGGTTTAGTTTATGACAAAGTTTCTGCATTCATTAACCACAAGGGAGCTCTTTAAGGAACTGCTGAAAAGTAAAATGCCACATGGCCGTGTACTGAAGCCAAGTGCCGAGAAAAATGCAAATGCTACTCTTGTGAGTGAAGAACGCAACAATTTGAGAACCTGATGTTGGTTGTAAGGGAGAGGAAAAGGGAATCAAAGAATAAAGAAAATACCCTTCACCTCCTCCTGCAGAGGGTGAAGAACAACTTGGACACAGAGCTCACCTACCTGCCCAACTGCAGGGGTTGGCAGAGACGTGCTCTCAAACACCACCTTGCAAAAAATGCATTAATTCTGATTGATACTGGTGCCTTTTACTTCCTGTGGTGCTTTTTGGTCACTATTCCCAATCATATTTGCAAGTAAAATTTTGCTTGCAGAAGGATTCACAGAAAGAATTCTTTAAATGTGCATTATTTCAGTCATGCATGCACTTGATGCCACCTCCAAAACTTCTCTGCATAAGTCACCCAATAGGCAAGAAAAAACAACATGTGATGTGGGATGACTGATGCCATAGCATTTCTTACAGGTAATAACATTTATATCACTGATGCAAGTAAATGCCTTCTAAGACCCTTTTAAGATGGTGCATATCTGCACAAATCCTTCCTCAAGGAACATGCTCCAAATCAAGCACATGACAAGCATTTCTCCAAATAGCAAACATGTTCAGAAATATCTATGTCAGTTGATCAGTGACTCACCCAAGAGGAACAGGGACTAGCTAACCTTGCCACAAACCACCCCTGCTAAAGGCAGAATCAGCATGTGACAGACAAATGAATGTGAATAGATAACAGGCTGGGAAAATGAGAGCAGAAAGACAGGGAAAACTCTGTGCAGCCCACATTCTCATTATCGTTCTTAATGCCTCTTGCAATACCTGTCATCCCACCCCAGCAGTGCCACTTCTTTGTTCACTGTTTTGTCTTTCCATTCCTTTCTCTCTGCTTTTAGCAATTTCCTTTCCCTGGCCTCCTGGTTTTAGCTGGGATAGAGTTAATTTTCCTCCTAGTAGCTGGTACAGTGCTGCGTTTGGGATTTAGCATGAGAATAATGTGATAACACACTGATGTTTTGGTTGTTGCTAAGCAGTGCTTGTACTAAGTCAAGGACTTTTCAGCTTCCAGTGCTCTGCCAGCGAGGAGGTGCACGAAAGGCTGGGAGGGGACACAGCCCAGACAGCAGACTCAAACTAGGCAAAGGGATATGCCACACCATATGACATTATGTTCAGTATATAAACCAGATGGAGTTGGACAGGGGACTCTGGCTCAGGAAGTGGCTGGGCATTGGTCAAGAAGTGATGAGCAATTTTATTGCGCATCATTTTGGGGCGTGCTTTTTTCAGCATTATTTTCTCTTCCCTTGCTGTCATATTAAACTGTCTTTATCACAACCCATGATTTTTACCTTTTTTCTTCAATTCTCCTCCTCGTCCTATTAAGTGAGGTGGAGGGGAGAGGAGAGTGAGTGAGTAGCTGTGTGGTGCTTAGTTTCTGGCTGGTGTTAAACCACAACAACCGCACCTCTACAGTTGGGTTCAGAAGAAACAAGGATGCTCATCCTCAGAGCTTCTTCCCTATTACATGGGAAAAGTGCCTGGTACAGCCCCAACCTGCTCTCCTGGGATTACCAGAGCAAAACCCATGTTTTTATATTTAGAGGCTGTTCTTCAGTCTCTAATTTTGATTAGACACTGATTAGATCAGTCTTCTGATTTTGTCGACTGAGGTGGCAGCTCTAATGTCTCCAGTTGGAGCAAGCACATCCCGTTAGCAGGGCTGGGGACAGCCATCAGCCAGGCAAGGGGGGCTGGAGAGCCAACCCACAAGGAAGAGCTAGAGGAAGGGAACAGATGGGAGAAGGGAAACCACATAAACATGCAAAGAGAGTGCAGCAGGTTCATTGCTGCCAAATGATCATTTATCATTTATTTATTCATTTGAAGCCCAAACTTGGCGACAGATCCACAATTCCATGCCACGATCAAAGCCCTTAAAAATGAAATGTGCTGAAATACAACTAATTAACCACTCTCCTCTGAGCATTTGCTAGACTACCTTATGCTCAAGGCAGGGCAGGGACTCACTCTGTTTGCTCTGCTTGCACACAGGGATCCAGGACAAACTAGAGTGCAAAACACCAGGCAAAGCGGTCAACAGAAAACCTCTCCTGAGAAAGCAGAGCCTTCATGGACATGCAGCATCTCTCCCAGTGCTTCCAAGCATGCTTGAACCCAAGCACTGTTTATAGCATCAGGTCTGCCATGGTGAGATGCCTTAATGAATCAAACCTGTTTGCTGCCAGGAAAACCAAACTCCTCTCCTCCAGGGAAAGCCCCCAGAGTCCTGTAGGCACCTCTGGCTGCGCTGAGCAGAGGAGGCAGACTTCAGTCTGCAGAACCACTGGGGCCTTGGGCTGTGGCCCAGCTCCACACTTGCTCATTAAGCAGGATGAGCCAAGAGATCAAATCAATTTTTATGTTCCAGCTAAAACATTTCACTGGTAACACCTGGCTGACTGTGAGTGCTACTTGATCCTAACCACAGGTCTAACCCAACAGGGAATAAGGAGAAATGGAATACTAGTCACGATGTGCCAGAATTACATTCAGATACAGTAAAATCTTGCGGGAAGGCTCCCTCACTGTTCAGGAGCCAAGGAATCCACTTCTTAGCAACAGCTTAGGGGTCTTCACAAGCACCCCCTGAACAGTGCCTGCATCAAACTGAAGCCTTGCTTCAGGAGGACCCCGGCACTGGCACTGAACAGCTCATGTCCCTTCAGCTCCTTAAACTTGACAGCACAAGACTCCTACAGGCAAGGTGCTGCACAGCAGTAAACTAAGGCACAGGAAGTCTAAGGAACACTTTCAGGGTCACAGCAGAGACCCGTACCTTAGGCATCTAAATCCCAAACTGTCCAGACCCTGAAGTGCTCTTCCCAACCAGCCCAGCTGCCACAGCTCCTTCTGCCTAACCTCTGCTCAGGTCCAAGCTGCTTCCACTCCCTGACCTGGCACTTGTATCAAGATGCACCCACCATGCCTAATGGTGCCTCCCTTTACCTACTTTTTTCTTTTTGCTAAAAGTCTAACCTAAATCCCCAACAGCATCCTTTCAGCCTCTTCCATGTGACTCTGCTTCATCATCCGCCCTGGAGCCTGATGCCACTGCTCAGCAGGAGCACCCCAGTCACAGCTGGAAGCCAAAGGACAACGTTTGTATGTTGACCATCTGCACAGCTGGCTTTAAGCATCTAGGGGCTCTCTCCCCCCTTTCATGCAGCACCTCACCAGCATCCCCAGGCAGTGACAGCACGGCCATCTCTACAGAGTTTCAGAGATAGGTGTGTGAACACTGTCATTCCTAACAAATGCAGAAGCTACAAGGCTCCTGTAATGTGGGAGATTCATGTCCTGCATTCCCAATACAGCCAAAGAGAAGAGTGTACCCCAGCAAAGCAGAAGACACTAGCCACAACCAAGCCTTCTGTGACTTGTCCAACACCAGAGAAAGGCCAATATTAACATTCACTTTTGTGTCTCAGAGAGAGCTGTTAGGCCACTGCTTCATTATGTTAACAAGATGGCATCTGCCTCTAATTATTAATTCATTTAAAGATATGTTTTGAAACAATTGACTTGAAAGCAGCCTACTGCTACTTGCAATGTGCTGCAGAGACCAGAAATGCTTTTATATTACCTTTCATCTTCCTTCCTGCAGCCCTGGCCATGGGCCCATGTTCCTGGGGCCTGTGGGGAGGCAGAGCCCTTGTGCCGGGCTGCCCTGAGGGCAGTTTCCATGTTGCTGGAGCTTCTTGCTGCTGCAAGACCAGAAGCAGCTCTGTTCCAGCCAGCACCATCCCATCACCATGAAGTGGTCAGCCTGCTCTGATATCCTTCTCCCAGCCCATCCCCACCCCAGCAGCACAACGGCGGCTCTCCAGGGACACTGCCTACTTCCAGCTTGGTGCTCCCTATGGCTGGGGCATCACCACAGGAGCCTCACAGCCTGCCAGCCACACAGCTGAAGCCCACACGCTGCTGACTTCAAATGGGGCTGATCAAGGGGAGCAAGAGCTGGCTGCGTAGGGGAAGGAACATGTAAATACTCCGTAGTACTTCCTTGCCAGCAAGGGGAGTTACTGAGAAAACTATGACAGCCCTTGCAGAAAAAAAGACCCAGCAGCCCCCAAGGAAGGAAAGCCTATGCAGGTTCTACCAGGGTTGCTTGATCACAGTTTCCATCAGTGATGAGATCCTGGTTCTGGAATCCCAAAATAACAAACACACATATAAGTGACATTTGGTTTACACACAACAGGCA